TTGTTCTGTTTTGGTTTGGATTTGTTTTATTTTAACCTCAGCCCTCTGGTGTCTCATTCAAGCAAATACTGCAGTGCTTTTCTGGAAACTGCCTAAATTAAGTAGATCTTACGTTTACACTGCAATAATGTGTATTATGATTCTAACAAATAACTGAGAAATAACCCTCATCAAAGATATATGATACAATCAAAGGTCATGAATATTAATGACTTAAAATAGTGAAAATTACTATTAAAAGGCCCTAATTTTGCATTGACTATGCAAGATAATTCAATATGCAAGAAAGTATGCACATACTCCACTTAAAAATGCATCTTTTTGCTGGTATAAATTTGACAATTACAATTTTAAATATTTCTTTTCCTAGATCTGAGCAGCATTTCAGAGCATGATTTCGATGAGTTTAAGGAAGCTTGAATTTTCAGTTTCTCTGGGAAACATCTCCCTGTAGAAAGCAAAAAGCAAGAAATTCAGCTTATTTCATTGACCTTAGAATTAAGGAAGCTGAGTCCCTTTTTTTCCAGAAACATCTCTTGTGTTATCTCAAAATAATTGGCAAATGAGAATTCATGAATCCAAATTTTAGCCCAATTTTCCAATCCCTGCAACCCTTGGGTTTCTTTTTCAGAAATATTACCTAGATATTATCACAATCATGGAACAAATTTACATGTATATTTTTATTCCTCCAGGGATTTTAATTGTAAACACTAGAGGAGCAATTTACACACTTCTGTCACCTAGATGTCAGCTGCTTCTTAGGATCTAGGGTACATTGGGTCTAATTTCAGGCCTCAGCCCTTCCCAAGTTCTGGTAGACTCCTTGGAAGGATTAGGTTCTCATGGTCCCAGTTCCTGTTTCCATAGAAACAATTTAGTTATAGATTTTTTTACCATCCCAGGCAATTTCCACCTGTCTGTACAGTTTGATCCAAAAATGAAATTTAGTCCTTTTTGCTATAATTTCTAGAAAATTCCTTCATAAAAGGTGTGTGTGTGTGTGTGTGTGTGTGTGTGTGTGTGTGTGGTTAGTAGATTTTACCAAAGGCTTGGGGAAGATTGAAATGTATTTACATCTCAGAATAGAAATAATAAATGTATACTTCACCCTCACACCACATTGTTTAACCTATTTTCTTCAATCCTATTCCCTCTCTGTTCTGCTTACTCACCTCCTTCCTCTACCTCCAAACGTGTTGCTCCCAATATAGAGGAGATAGTTGAACCATCTTTGTTGCCTTGGCTTTGTGTGACCTTTGTTCTCAGTGACTCACCTTCCGTGTCCCTCTCCTCCTCATTCCCAAACTAACTTAGATTTTTTCCTTAACATAGATGATTCCATCCAAGAATTATTCTCATGGCCACTTTTAGGATAGTAACTTTCTCACCTTTGTATATTTTGGATCAAGTCCTCTTGTTCATTTTGCTTTTTAAATTGTTTTCTCTCTCCCTCTCCTATTTCTTTTCCCTCCTTTTCTCCCTCCTCCTCTGCAAACACACCATGTAGCTCTAGTCTCAAGCCTTTTTCCTCCAAAAGAAAGTCTCAGGGTTGCCCCTAGAAGAAAATGGTGGAATTCCTCCTCATTGTGATGTGTGCATAAAAGCCTCATTGGTCTGTAGAACGGGATGGGGTGGGGACTTTCTCCCTGCGCCTTCCCCAAGCACTCTCCCTGGTCCTGCTCCAGCAGCCTGGAGCCCTTTCTTTTAAGGCTTGGTTTATGCTCTAATCTTTAAATGACTGCTGGGTAAAAGTAAAGAGAAGTAAGGTACATACAGTAAGTTCTCACTTGACATCGTCCATACGTTCTGTGACTTTAAGTGAAATGATGTATAAAGACACCAGTTTTACCAGAGGCTAATTAATATAAACACGAGTTAAGTTTTTACAGCATCTCATCAATGTTATAAAAAAACAACGTTGAATGAAACAGCATTATCTGAGGACCTGCTATGTAGGTGTAATTAGACAAACTTCTCAAAAGGGTAGAAGAGGTGACACAAAAACTCCCAAGTTCTTACAAGCTGCTGTTATTTACAAACATATCACAAAGACATCCTTTACCTGTCTGTCTTATTTTTTGTCTTCTCTTTTATTATACCTTTCAAAATATTGAACCTTCTCCCAGTTCTTAAACTTGTAGTGTCCCAAAATATTATTTCTATTAAACATGGAGGGTAACTTCCTTCCTCTCTCCTGTGGCTTTTTTACTGTTTAAATCTTCACCCTCTTTACTTCTGAACTCCACAACCTTCCCTATTCCTTTTCATAGTCCTGGATCAGACAACTTGCCATCACATTCCTTGGGAATGCTACTCTGAGCTGCGTCTTTCTGGAGTCTTCCTGTGATGTGATCTCTCAGCAACAAGAGCAACTATTGCTCTTCACGACTATATTCCAGAGGTCTTTTTCTACTTTGCTCAGTTCTGAGTAGTTAACAGTTTCTGGAAGATAGATCACTGCCTTTACCCTCCTAGGATTTAAGTAGGCACATTTTTTTTAAAAAGCATTTTATTGGGGAATTGGAGGAAGGGGAACAGACAAGTTGCTGTTGCTTTGTTCTTCAGTCTAGTTGTGGAGGACGTGGCTTCACTGGCCCAAGTTGGCACCATCACTGCACTCTTCCCGGGTGAGGCAGATCAGTCAGCGGCTTCTGGACGGC